AAGCTAGACTGGTGGTGAAAGGTTATAGACAAATCCACGGGATTGACTATAATGAAACCTTTTCACCGGTTGCAATGCTAAAGTCTGTCCGGATTATCCTAGCGATTGATGCATGTTACGATTATGAAATATGGCAGATGGATGTCAAAACCGCCTTCCTAAATGGGATTTTGGAAGAAACTGTGTATATAACACAGCCAGAAGGTTTTGTTGATCCAAGCAACGCTGGAAAGGTATGCAAGCTTAAGAAGTCCATTTATGGACTAAAGCAAGCTAGCAGGAGTTGGAATCTGCGATTTGATGAAGCCATCAGCAAGTTTGGTTTAATCAAGAATCCAAATGAATCTTGTGTCTATAAGAAGGTCAGTGGGAGTGACATCGCATTCCTAGTCCTATATGTCGATGACATACTGCTCATTGGAAACAGCACAAAATTACTGGAGTCCGTAAAGGGCTGGCTGGGAAAGTGATTTTCGATGAAGGACTTGTGAGAGGCACAGTACATATTGGGCATCAAGATCTACAGGGATAGATCAAAGAGGATGACTAGATTGAGTCAGAGTACTTACATTAATAAGGTACTAGCACGATTCCACATGGAGAATGCCAAGAGAGGGCATTTACCCATGTCCCATGGCGTAACTCTCAGCAAAAAACAGTGTCCACAGACACCTGTTGAGCGAGAGAGAATGAATCAGATCCCATATGCTTCGCTAATTGGATCAATCATGTATGCCATGATATGTACCGGGCAAGATGTATCGTATGCCTTGAGTGCTACAAGCCGATACCAATCGGACCCAAGAGAGGCGCATTGGACTGCGGCTAAGAATATCCTGAATTACCTGAAAAGGAACAAGGATAAATTCCTGGTCTATGGTGGCCACTAAGACCTGGTTGTTAAAGGTTACACCGACAATAGCTTTCAGACTGACAAAGATGACTTCAAGTCACAATCAGGGTACATATTCTGTCTGAATGGAGGAGCGTTTAGCCAGAAGAGTGCCAAGCAGAGCACCACTGCAGACTCTACAACTGAAGCCGAGTACTTGGAAGCTTCAGAACTCGCTAAGGAGGCTGTTTGGATTCGCTAGTTCATAAGTGAACTTGGTGTTGTACCCTCCATCAAGGGTTCGATAGATCTCTACTGTGATAACAATGGAGCTATCGCTCAGGCTAGAGAGCCAAGAGAGCACCAGAAGGTCAAACATGTCCAAAGGCGATTTCACATGCATGATAAGGGAATGGAAATCCGAAGGTGAAATCAGAATTTGCAAGATCGGCACGGATGATAATGTGGCTGATCCTTTGACTAAACCTCTGCCTCAAGTGAAACACAACAAGCACATTGAGGCAATGGGAATCAAGCACGTCGGAGACTGGCTTTGAAATTCCTTGTACATGTGTTTTAATTAAACTAGATGTTTTAATGTAAGACACTTATTGAAACCATTTATTTATGGAGTAATTAATTTTTATGCGAAATTACCATTCACTCCATTCCTATTTAATTGTGGTTTACAATTAAATAATGAGTCCATTCGATTTATGGAAATATTCAAAACAGGGTATCAAGACCATGTCTTGGATAAAGAAACTCCTGTTAAGTGAACATTGAATATTTAAATCGAAAATTATCCCTAATCAAGGTCATCTAAATGATGGACGATTGATGACCACCAGAGATTAGTGTGTAGTATGATTTACAACACCGTTTCTTGTGCTGCAAGGACATGATGGTCATAAATCATTTGCACAGGTGCTAGTTCGGAATTGCACTGGATCGACCTATGAGAGTACTTTAAGAGATTCAAAATTGTCATAAGTAAATTTCTCATTATAAATATCGGAACTCGTTTCCTCGACCATTAGTATTGTGAAGTTTTCTTGTTTGAGTACTAGTCTCTTTGATGTTGCCTAATGTCTACCGTAACTAGGGATCATAATGGGAACACTCAGGAGATTAGGTCCTCTTAGTAAGAGAAACTTACAATGCAAGACTAGGAATGTCCCCCTATTAACAATAGGGAACATGTATTTGTTGTTTGCAAGGCCACTCGAAGAGCGAGACTGTGAAAATGCATGGCCATGCTCAGATAGATTTTAGAAATCATCTGCTAATTGACAGTTGAACTCGGAGATCGAGAAACACTTCTGAACGTAATAAGGATGACGATGAATCTTACCTTATAGTTCACAAAGAGACATTAAGCGACATAGGAAATGGGCTATACACTGTATGCACACTTGTCCGGAAGGACAAGTGGGAGACTGAAAGCAATGGTGTCCTTCCAACAAGTGTATTATTCTTATAGAGGGTTTAAAATTATTGCAGAGCTAATTCTTCAGTAAGGTCAAGTGATCGGAATGCCTAGGTGGAGGCCGCTTCCGATTAGTAATATTAAGGTATAATTAATATTACAGCTTAATCTTAACGAATTCTTTGGGTCGAACCCAATCGAACAACCGATCCGAGACGACGAATTAATCCGAAGGATTTAATGAGTCGTCGAAGTTTCACGAACACAGACGTCAGATATCGAGCCTAGGGCGTCGAGGCTGAGCATCGCAAAATCACAAGCAACAAGTACAAGCGTAGCCGTAGCATCACATTGGCCTACCATGTGAAGTGCTAGGCTAGGCTAGCTCATCGCAAGCCTAGGCGCACCATGTGTGTGCTAGGCGCACCTTAGGTGCTATTGCAGCCCATTGCACAAGCACAGCACCATCGTAGTGAAAAGCACTTGCGTGTGTGTGCCTGTGTGTATGCCTAGGGCTGTCGCACCATCGCAAGCTCTAGCACAAGCCTACGCGTGGCACAGCACTATCGCATGGCTAGGCCAGTGCGTATGTGCGTGTGCGTGTAGGGCATCGCAGCAGCAACACTAGCCTCGCTCAATGCGTGTGTGCCATGCGTGCAAGCCATCGCAGCATTGCTAGCACAGCACCAAGCATCGCATGCTTGTGCGTGTGGCTGGCGAGGCGATTCCCAGCGAGTGTGAGTGTCAGGCCATCGCCAAAAGCTAGCAGCGCCCAGCGCTAGCACGCAGCAGCAGCACGAGCATCGCCCATCACAGCACGCATATGCTGGCTGGGGTGATGCAGGGATGCTTGTTGGTGGTAGCTGGCAGCGCTAGCTGGCGTGCTAGCTGGCTACCATCCCAGCACCCTTGGTGCCGGTTTTGTTAGGGGTGGGGACCAACCCTTGGGCAATGCCTTGGGGAGAAAGGCAACGGTCCCCCCCTACCTACTCTTGGTCCTCACTTAACTCTTTCTCTCCCCTTGACACTTGTTACATTGTGTTTGATTTGATTATTTATTTAATTTAGAATTAAATTAATTATCAATATTATTTATTCTCCCACATTGGTTGGGAAATGAAAATCAAGGGTTCATTTCCCTATAAATACCAAGGCTTGGGTATTTGGGAAAGAACACACTTGAGTGGAATTGAAAAGGCAACTCTATAATTGAGTAAACCTTGAATTCGTAAAACTCCAAGTTTACATTTTGTCTGGGCCTTAACTAACCTTTGAGGTGTAGGACGATCGGGTCGGGTTCGAGGGTACGATCCCATTGGAGGCCTCGCATTATCGAGGTTGAAGTAAGAGCTCGGTGTGAGAGCGAATCACGCGTCGGGGGTATATTTCTTATCCTTTCTCTTTATTGTGTTTTAATTATGTTTTGCTTGTATTAGTTGCATTAATTATGGGGGCAGGTCTTGGGGGGTTTCTTTCCGCGTAGTGAGGGTCACTACGAAATCCTACACAAAGAGAGTGTCCTCACCACGAAATTCCTACCTACCAAATCATTCAAATCTTTTATGGTGGCCTAAGCCCTCAAGGGAAGTCTTGTCTTGATGCGGAAGCCAGAGGTCCCATTATGAATAAAACGGAGGAAGAAGTTGTGGGCATAATTGAAGATGTAGTGAGGCATTACATCGATTGGCAAGATGGTGAACGAGAGTCAACAAGCAAGAGTGGCTCTATGGTATCTTCCTTTGATCACCTCGATGCCATCAATAACTTGTCCTCACAAATCTCAAATCTAAGGAAGGAGATGACTTTTATCTACTCCAAATTAGAGAGCACTTCGTCTTTAGCCCCTATTCTTATCTCCCAATTTAAGGGGAGAGGTACATCTTCTAACTCTACTCTTCTTTCTTCTTCTAATAACATGCCTAATGAATGCTCGTTTTGTGATGTATGTGATTCATATGAGCATGATTCTTCTGGGTGCACTCATTCATTTGTGGATGGATGTGATGATTTTGATGATAATGTGAATGAGCATGTGAACTTTGTGCCTAACAATAATGGATCGAGGTTTGATAATCAAAGAGGTCAAGGGAATAGGTTTTATCACAACCAAGGCAATTTTGACAACTGTAACCAAGGGAGTGGCTATAGGAACCAAGGAAACCAAGGTTTCCGAGGTAACTATAACAACCAAGGTTATATCGGCCAAAATCAAAGCCAAGGTATGGTCATCATAATCACGGTTATGGTAACCATAATCAAAGCTATGGCCAAAATCAAAATAGTGGTAATTGGAACAATCAAAATAGGGAAACTTTAAAAACAATGCTCAAAGGGGTCCCCCACCCGGTTTTGTTCCAAGGACCCATGGTTAAGGTGATAATTTTTATGCTCAACCTTCTTCTTCTAGGTCTAATTTGGAGGAAATCATTGAAATTCAAACCAAATTGTTGAACACTTTCATGTCGGTTAGTGATAAGAAATTCAATGAAATGATGACCCATAATAAGATGTTAGAGAACCAAATCTCCAAATTAGCTAGTGCTTTGAAAGACAATGCAAGCCCTTTTTCTTTACCTTCCCAAGGTCTTAACCCTAAGGAACCGGTTTATTTTATCACAACTAGAAGTGGCAAAGTGTTAGAGGAGAGAGTTTCTTAGAGGAGTCAAGAGAAGGAAAAGGTGAGTGACTCATTTGATGATGATGAGCATGATAAGTCTAGCAAGAAGAGTTAGAGTTCTAATGAGAAGGCCAAAGGAGAAAGAGAGAATGCAAGATGAGGTTATCAAACCCAAACTTCCCTACCCCCAAAAGTTCATGAGGCACAAATTGAATGAACAATTCGGGAAATTCATCGAGATGCTTAAGCAGATTCATCTTTCTATTCCTTTCACCGATGTTTTTCAACAAATGCCAAACTATTCTAAGTTCCTTAAGGAAATCTTGAGTGGCAAGAGAGAGTGCAATGTGGTTGATTCGATGAGTGTTGGGGAATGTTATAGTGCTCTCATCCATAATGATCTACCCCCAAAGATGAAAGACCCGGGGAATTTCTCCATCCTTTGCAATATTAATGGCAAATTGTTCCAAAATGCTGTTTGTGATCTTGGTGCTAGTGTTAGCATCATGCAATATTCCGTCTTAAAGAAGCTTAAGTTAGGTGAACTCCTCCAAACCAACATGACCCTACAATTTGTAGACCGTTCTATTAAGTTCCCCAAGGATAGAGTCGAGGATGTCCCCCTCAAGATAAGAGAGTTCGCTATCCCCGTTGACTTCATTGTGCTAGAGATTGCGGAAGATGATAATATTCCTATCATCTTAGGTAGACCATTCCTAGCGACTTCGGGGGCTTTAATTGATGTTAAAGGCGGCATTATTACTTTGTGCGTTGGTATTGATAAGGCAAGTTTTAATCTCAAGTCGATGCATGAGTCTCTATCCTACGTGCAAGAAATTATGTGCATAAATTCATTTCCCTTGAATGATGATTCTTGCATGTTTGTGTCTTCTACTAATGATATTCTTGTAGCTTGTGATGATACTCCTAAATGTGTTGAAAGCAAGATTGTTAGTGAAGAAGACAAGGAGTCCTCTAAGCTAGAGAATGAGTTTGAAATGACTTCTTGGTTTGAGCTTTCTTTGAAGGATGACGAGAATAGTTTTTCAAGTGTTGGTCATGTGGAGCTCAAAACTCCAAGGAAGAAAAAATCAAGGAAGAAAAAGAGAGTTCCCAATGCAAGAAAAAGAAAGAGAAGTTGAGGCAAAACAAGTTTGATCCGGTTTCCATGATTCAAGATGATATGTCTCATGATGTGATTTTGCCCAAGCTTAGCAATGAATTTACCCTCTCCACCACTTTGGACATGGTAATATTCTTTAACCCTCCGTGATTTGGAGGCGGGTCAAGCTAGGGACCTTAAACTAGTGCTTTCCGGGAGGCAACCCGACCCTCTAACTTTCCTTTTCTCATTACTTGATTTCATTTTGAAGTGACTAATATGTGGTTTGAGTATAATTTGTTTTCATTTCTTTTCCTAATCTTGTCTTGTAGATCAAGTTTAGCTTTGTTGGAGCTACGTGGAGGTGTGAGCTCCCCTTTGCTTCTTTTCTTTGCTTAGCTTGGATCGCTTGGTGAGATCTTTCTATTTTCCCTTCTTTTATTTTCTTTCATTGGTTGCTTTAAGATAGTTTTAGCTTAGGAGGAGTTGAACGGTTCGAGGATGTGTTCTATTAACACCTAGTGTGTTTGGGATCGTTGACATTGTGGTCGAACGATCATTGTTTTTCGATCGGGATTTACTTGCATATGCTTATGTCCTTTTAGCTTCTCACTCCTTCTTTATTTCTCCTTTTTTCTTTGCAACCTTAATCAAGGCAATTTTTGCAAAATGTTTTTTTAATCACTCTTTGTTTGGACAATTAACATTGGTCTTGTGTATTTGAATGATTTCCTTCTTTGTGGAACATGTGTGCATGATTTGAGAGTGTTAGTGGTTGATTCTAGGATATTGCATGCTAAGGTAGCCGGTCTAAGAACTTTAGGGTCCATGAAGCCTTAGTCATTGAAAGTGGTAAGATGGTGTTGCTTTTCATACTAGATTCGATACCTTTGGGTTAGTATTTGTTTCAAAAGATCCCTTGTGAGGTATATTGTTCAAGCCTTCATCATCTTTGTTGAGCGGCGTTTTGGATCCTTGGCTATGCATGTTTTAATCTTTGGTTTGTCCTCTAGCTCCCGAGATCGAGACCGAGCCACTTTAGGGGAGGAAAAAGGCTTTTCATTTTCTTTTATGCTCCTTTTATTTAGTTACTTTCTTGTTTTTCTCTTGCATTCACCCTCTTGCTACCCCTTTGAGCTTACTTCCATTTATTCGAATACTAGCCACATTTAGTTTTGAAGCTTACTTTGGTTGGACTCTTGTTTTGTCAATAGTTTGGATTTATGGCGGTAGAGTTCGAATGTATGGCATGTTTGTGATAATTATGCAAGAAGAACAAGAAGTGTAAAATAAAGGGTGCAAAATGTTTGATTTTTTATTGTTATACAAAGAGAAAAAGAAACTAAGAGAAGAGAAATGCATTATGAAAAATAAAAAAGGGAGAAATAAGAGCAAAACGAAAAGAAAAAAAAAAACAAAGAGCTTTTATAGTTCAATAAGTGTGAAATGTCATGAATTGCACCAATGATATCTTTGTTGTGATCGTTTTCCGAGTTTAAGCATTGAGGACAATGCTTTGTTTAAGCTTGGGGGAGCATTGCTTTACTTTTGAGAGTTAAAAGTTTGGTGTATTTGTTGAATAATCTTGGAGGAGATGGAATATTTGTTTTTGTTTGATAATTGGTGACTTCTTAAGTTTGTTTTTGAGAGATGGCCACTCTTTCGCTTCACTTAGGAATTACCACCAAATTTCAAATTTTTACCTACCTATACCCTAATCCATGACATTGCAACCTTGAAAAGTCCTTTAAACCTTAGAGAGTTGAGTCACAAGTCGGTGGAGGGAGATGGTTTTCAAGCTTATAGAGAGGAATGTGCATAGTTAAGACGTCGGGATAACCTTCTCATGTTTTTCAATTCTTTATATTTTTTCCGGTTCCTTCGAGGAATCATGAGGAGCTAACTCAAGGGTTGATTTGAAGCTAGTGGAGAGAACGCGGTAAGACTAGTGGGGACGAGGGTAGATTGAGCCTCCTATAGTTCTCTATGCTTAGCATGTTCTATGTTACAATCAACCATTGGAATCTTATAGCATGCATACATATATTGTCTAAGAAGTCTCTCATTCATTGGCATTTGCTTCCTTTACAATTGTCCAACTCAAGAGCTCTTGTGTTTTTTATTTCTTGATTTTTATTGCTTTGCCTTGACTTAGTTGCTATAGTTATGGGTAAAACTCTTTGGAAACCTTTACGAGACCTCACTCGTCCTCATTCGCGACTTTGGGGTTTAAAAGGCCTATTATAGCTAAAAACTACAGTGATTACTACGAAAGCGAGTTCGTGTATATTCTTTTCCCCTTCTTTTCCTTTTTCTTTACTTGAATAAATCTTTCATCCTACACCTACTTGCTTTTGTTTTTGCTCGAGGACGAGCAAAAGTTTAGCTTGGGGGAGTTTGATGAGTGCCATTTACAGCACTCAAATGGCATTATTTTGGGTTGATTTTAGTAGCTTCAATAGCTTTCTTTACGCTTTTCCCCTTATTTTTAGTCTTTTATTCTCTAGTTGGTCTCATTCTAGTCTTTCCTACCTTTTTCTTTTACTTTCGTGGATTTTATCATCTTTTTCCTTTTACTTGTTTTCCTTTCTTTATTTTCATGTCTAAGGTGAATCCCAAGGCCCTTCATGGTGATTCCTCGGGTTAGAAGATGCTCAAAGTGCAAGGTGGAAGCTCTCATATAGCTCAAAAAGCAAGGGATGGCTCACTCCAATACTTGATGCTTGGGCCCTCATGCTGCGCTCACATGATAATATGATGTTGAACCCACCGTAAACTCATTTTGGGACTGCCATCCCCAATGTTCATCAAGTGGAGCGCACCTCTTGCATTGAAGAATGCACAGAGGAAGTCCCTTGTTCTAGTGGTGCGGGCGCGCATTCATCAAGCGAGGGCGAGACTACTCCGCGCGCAGGCGCGCCACCTGAGTTCTTTGTTCCGTACCCCATTTTTTGCGACTGCGCATTTCGGAGAGAGGGCACTCCTGTACGGGTTTTTTTTGGACGTCCACTTTATTTCTCCTTAGTTAGTTATTCTAGAGGAAAGATTTGATTCATATTTTTGAGAGAGGCGAGATAAAGAAGTTTTTGGAGTTAGTTTTGGGGAGCTCTTAGATTTTGATTTGTACTTCAACATTTGCTTCAATAAAGTTAGGATTTTCTTCAATCAATGATAATTAGTGAGACTTTCTTCATTTAATTCCTCTCCATTGCTTGATTTTGTTTTTTATTCATGAATGATTGTTTGATTTGTTGATATTTTGGTTAATAGTTTGATTGATTTGAATTTTTACTTGATTTAGTTTAGGATGATGATGTTTGTGATTTACTTAGTTTTGTTCTTCAATCTCAATATGTTTAGTGAGTAGACTCCTTGCTAAGGAGATGGTGAAACATGCATGAATGATGGATTATTGCTAATTGATGGATTTTGATTGATTGAATGTTGTGATTAAATTGGTTGATAAAATTATGCATACGGTTGAATTGTTAAGGAGTGATCAACATTGATTTTCAAGCTAGATTGCATTGTGATTTCTAATGACATGAACCATTGATTTAGGGATTGCAATTATTGATTGAATTTGATTTGTGATTCTTCTTGCAAGTCATTCATAAAGGAAACCTAGTTTGACTTCTATGAGATAACCTTTTGAGTTCTCTTGATAGCAATTACTATCCTCCTTTACAACATTTGGTTGATTGATTTCCCCTTAATTGGCATAACCATCATGGTTGTATGTGGATCCTAATCCCTAGTGCTTTTGATATTGAATTTCCTCTTTAGTCTAGTTGTTTGACACCATAGTTAGTCATATTCATCATAATTCTTATTTTTAGAAATAGCTTGACCTTAGGCTGTAGTAACCCTTCTCCCATTCCTCGTGGTTCAACTCTTGACTTACCCTATACTTGGTTTAGGATTGGTTGAGTGATTATAAATTTGTTGATAAGATTTTAAGAATTTAACGACGTGTTTAGACCCTCTTTCATACCCTAGCCTTACATTACATGCTTTAAAGACCTTCCAATCTTTGTGCATAGAGTTGTATGGATGTGAAATTAGTTGTTTATCAATGCAAAGAATGATTTGACATATTTCGAGTGGACTACTAGGTTGAGTGCTTGTCTTTTTAAACACACGAGTGTTGTGAGTTTGGGAGGGCATTGTTCACAACAAAGGGGTTGGATGGAGAGCAATTGGATACATTTTATATCCGCCACATAAAAGAGTGAAGGGTGTTTGAGCACTAGTCTTGAATTCCATATACACTTGTGGTTCGCTTTGTTTGACGATTGTTAGGGAGGATTAGTAGTTGTATGGATTTAATTGGTTGACTTTGATGCATATTTGTTGGATTTGCTTTGAATTGATTATGCTTGGTTTTGGTTGATTTTGGGGTGAAGTATGTTTTATTTGTTCATTTATGAGATCTTTGCTTTGGGACAAGAAAATGTTTGGCTTGGGGGAGCTTGATATGTCTATTTTATATAGTGATTTACCACCGTCCCTTGGTCATTTTTTGGAGTATTTTTGGCCCTATGGAGCTACTTTTATTACTAATATGCGTTTTCTAGTGTTTTTGTAGCATTGGTATTATTATATAGGAAATTGTAGATTCAGAGCATTTTCCCGGACTTATTTGAGCCACTACAAGCATTGGAGTAGGATCGCATTCATATGACCACATTCCAAAGCCCAAGACCGCGTTGGAGCAATAAAACCGGTTATTAAGGGCTCGGTGAAGAAGAAGAGACCGAGGCATTGGATCGAGTTATAAGGACCCAAAAATGAAATCCGGATAGGGCCAAGAAATTATCCCAATTGAAGATTCCATTGATACCCAGATGCTCGCCCGGCTAAGAGTACCGTCGCCCTCAGGCGCACCCGGCCGGGACTCCTCGCCCTGAGGCGCGCCAAGGAGAGTCTACCAGCTGAAGGCAAGCCCGCCCGAGCGAGATGGCGCAGGACTGAGCGCGTGTTTTGAGGATCGTTTTGCGACTTTTAATTTTCCTTAATTTAGAATTTGTTAGCTTAAGT